GTAACACTGGCTTTGGGCCGGTCTGGCTGAGCTCAGCGCCTGCTCCCAGCCCCCTCCTCCCCTCCCCCTCCCTCCCTTTCTGGGTTATTCTTAGCAAGAAGTGACCTCAGAGTGCTCCCACTGAGCAAAAATAACCCTGGAGGAAGTTGATGAGTATAAATCTTCAATGAATAAGTGCATCTACCTAGTAAACAGAGCAGTCCCCAAAGGACCAGCCCCCCACCAGGGTCTGGTGGGCAAGGGCGGATACTGTCCCTCCTAGAGCCCCAGGTGTAACCAACACGAGGGACAAAGTTGGTCGCAGGGCTGTCTGGGCCTGCGATCAGGCAGCAACCAGCTTCAGACACCCTCACTTGTTATTCTCAACGTCCTCGGAGCCGGAGAACAGGAAGATGCCTCTTCCTCCCAGCCTGACACTTGCACCCACATGTGGGCCTCCGCTCTGGGGCCAGCAGCGACCAGCCCCACATGGTGCTGTCCCCTCTGCGGGCCATGAGAACTGGCCAGCCAGCAGGCCTTGCACGCAGGTGCCAGCTCCCCTTCGAGGCCCCGCCCAGCCCTGTGGCTGGCTTCCTGTTTCCTGTTGCCGCGGGGGCCATGAGCATCCTGACTCCTAGGCCAGTGCCACAGACCAACACCGCCGCCTGGTTGAAATGGGCCCACCTCTTACTCCTCAGACCACCCTTCCCCGCTTTGCCACAGGCTCTCTAGTATGTGGGTCAATCACCCTGCTCAGTTCTGTTTCCTCTGGGTGCTTTTTAGACCAGGTCTACACATGTTTTCAAACAGCCCAGCCTTTGTATATTATCTTAAAGCAAATTTAGGGTACCCAGTCTCCCAGGTGATGAGACTGGAGTGGCAAGGGAGGATGAGCACCCCGGGCTCTGCAGTTGGGAGGTTGGAGGCCAAGTCTAGGTCATCATCTCTGAACCTCGGTCTCTTCCTCTGACTGTGGGGACGGTCATGACAGCAGCCCCCACCTCCCCATACAGGTCTGTTGTCAGCATCAAATGAGGTCCACGGGGGTAGAAGGCCTTTGTAGGCAGTCAAGCTCTGTGCCACTCTCAGCTTTTCTTCAGGGCTGCCAGTCTCAGTGAGTGGGTACCCAGTGCAAGGGGAAGGGGTGGTACACCTCTGGAATGGAAGATCTAATGGAAGCAACATGCTCTCACTACAAGCTTTTCTATGCAAAAAGCCAGGCTTTGGTTTAGGTATCTTAGATTCCCAATCCACCAGGGAACGATACTTCCATAAAACACAAAATCGTGCCTGTGGATGTGGTGACAGTATCAAGTTGATATAAAGGTTTCTAAACTCTGATTCTCAAGTTCTGTGCAGATGGGGGAACAAACAGCTCAGACTGGTGCCTCTCCATCAGGTGTGCAGACCCAGGTCCGGGATCACAGGGCTGTTATCTTGTCTTAGTTCTTAGTGTTCATTTTAACAATTGGTTTAAAAGGGAGGGCCAGCGTGGCTCACGATGGCTGCCCCGGGCTTCATTTGCAAGACAGGCTTCGGTGGGCTGTGACACCGAGTGGGCAGAGAGCAGGTAAGGCTGCCAAGAACATCAGAACAAATGTGCCCAGGGTGCTCAGGGAGCAGCAAGCAGACGGGGTTTCTTTGGCAAAAGAGGTGGACGCTGAGCACCCATGCAGAAGCAGGAGAAGTCACATGGTGAGGAGCCAAACGGAGTGTTCCAGGTCTCATCCCATGAGAAATGGAGCCCCTGGAGATTTTTTTTTTTTAATATTTAAGTTTTAGCTGCACTGGGTCTTCATTGCTGTGCACAGGCTTTCTCTATTTGCAGCAAACAAGGGCTGCTCTTCACTGTGGTGCCCAGGCTTCTCACTGCAGTGGCTTCTCCTGTTGCGCAGCACAGGCTCTAGGTACACGGGCTTCAGTAGTTGCAGCACACAGGCTTAACTGCTCCACAGCACGTGGAATCTTCCTGGACCAGGGGTCAAATCCATGTCCCCTGCATTGGCAGGTGGATTCTTAAGCACTGGACCACCAGGGAAGTTCCCCTGTAGATTCTTGAACAGTGACGTGCCCCAGGCTGTATCTACTGTAATTACATGTGGTCTCTTCTTGAACACACTAGGTTGAAATAAGTCTTATTTATTTGGCAGGCGCTCAGTTGGTGTAATGTGTTTGTGGCCAAAAAGGAGAGGGTTGGAGGTGTTTAGAGAGATGCTGTGGGCAGGTGGGGCCTGGTCTGGGTGAGGACACAGCCAGGAGGCTGATGCAGGAGAAAGTGGAAGGTACCCAGAGGATAGGTAGGCCTTGGGGGCAAAATCTAGAGACCTTGGGTGGGGAATGGCTAGGACACCAATGGATATACCTGATCCCTCCCCGTCCAGCAGTGGGTGTGCAACGTTGGCACAAATCAAGAGCCCGCCTGCAGCCAGGTTTTCCTCTTGTGCTTCCCAGCACTGCCTGCTCTGTTCCACTTGCCAGGGTTTGAGCTGAGCCTACCACTCCCTGCCCGGTTTCCAGGCTTAGCTGGATGACACACACTCAGCTGCCTTAAAGCACCCTGGTCAATCTGTTCTCAGGGTCACAGCTGCACCAGGTCCCCAAAAACCCACCCTGCTGTGCTCCTTGGCTGAAGAGGGGAGGAGGCCTGGGCAAGCATCTGCTCTGCAACAGGCCCAGGAGACCGTGGCCTGGCCCTGGGCTGCAGCACAGACTTCCCCTATGCGGGCTCCCTTCGGTGTCCATGGGGCTGCTGCCAGGAAAGACCGGCTGGCTGTTCTCTGTGCCCTGCAATGTGCAAGGGTCCCTGTCACAACGCTGTCTTGGACCCCCTGCCTCCCCAATCAACATTGCCTCCCTGTGCTCTGTCCCCCTTCCCAGGGCCTCTCTTGGGAGTCCAAGTGGCTTCAGATGTCAATTAGGACTGGATCACATCAATACTGACATGCACAGGATGTGCACACCTTCCATGGAGTTCTGAGAGGCTGATGCCAGGCTCCCACATGAAAGGCCTTCTAGACCCTGGCCCACTGGCCCCTATGGGGGCCAGAGGGGCAGGTTTATGACACTGTGCATTTGGAGGCCACCTTGCTGTTTGCACAGCATCCCTGGAGGTGGACAGGGCAGGTATGACTGGCAGCCATATTTTTTCCAGTGAGGAAGCAAAAGCTCAGAGAGATTCAGTAACTTACTAAGGTCACACAGCTGGCAAGCAATAAATCCAGCGCTGCTGCTTCTGTTCTGGGTAAGGACAGGACCGACTTTGGCTGACCTCTGGCTCTTTGGTGTTTTAACCCATTTAATTCTCCCAGGGGTGTAGGGGGAATGCATCCTTATCATTTCTATTTTTCAGAAGGGGAACCCAGGATTCAGGCGGTGACTTGTTCAAGGTCACACAAGTGGTCAGTGGTGGAGCTGAAATTTAGACCCAGGTCTGCTGGATTTTAAAGACTGCTTTTCCTTCCCTGCTGGGCCCCTGTTCCAGGCCAGGGTGTGTGACCCACTGACCCTTCATCCACTGGTCTGTGCCCCCTCCTTCCCTCTCTTCATCCAACTCTGGACACACACTTGGCCCTGACTTCCTTGACCCACGGGTTCAAGGACCTCCCCCACCTCTCAGTGATGTGCCCTCCCTCTGGTTCCGGGACTCACAAAGATGAGTCAGAGGGCTGCCAGTTCCATTTGCTACAGGTGGCGGCTCCCACCCCTAGCACCGGAAAGTAAGGGCGGAGTGTGCTCTGCAGATCACCAGCACATGCACAGCTCAGATACAGAATGACCGACGGGTTCTCACTCCATCGGCACTGTGCCCCTCCACTTTCCCCTACAAGGTACTCTATCTGGGGGTGGAGTGGAGGGGCACCCAGGAATCTAGAAGTGCAGCCTGGAGTCTGCTGCAAGCTGGAAATTCCTTTGAAGTCCCCAGTTTTATCTTTCAACTACCTGTGCATTTTTCATTCCAGGCCATAAAATATCCATGTTTGCTTGAATATTAAAAGTGCTCAAAATTACTTACCAGTGAAATGACTTAACTTCTGCCCCCTTCCACTCCAAATCTCCAAGCAGCACTGGCAGCAGTACACTTCAGTGCCCCACAGGTTCCCAAACCTCCTGACTCCAAAAACCCCATCACCTCCAATAGGTGTAGCCCTCCCTTCCTCATTGCAGCCACCATTCACCCTACTCTACCCCATGGAGGAAAATCCTGCTCCTCTGAGACATGTCCTTGAAGGGCTGAGTTACAAATGCAGGACTCCTGGCTCCTCCTTACCTTCTTGCTCCAAGTTCCCCATTCTCAGCTGGAAGGGACGAAAAGAAAGGAACCAGCTGTCGTTGGTGCTGGCAAATAACTACTGTTCTGCCTCTGTGTTTAAGGCATAAGGAAGGCAGGCTCCTGCAGCCCCTGGGCCCTGCCCCACAGAGCACTCCTCATCTTGGGCAACCCAGGAGCCTCACCCTGGATTCCGAGGCAATGGCACCCAGAGGCTGGGGTCCTCCACTTCGACTAGACTTAAAACAGTGCCCAGCCCTCCTTCTCTCTGATAAAGGGACTCATGAGCCTGCATGTCTTCCCTACTCACTTTGATCAGACTTCCAGACCTCAATCCCCTTCCTCCAAGTTCTCCAGGTGGGACGGAGGCCCAAGGTGGGTGTCTGGATGGGGAGGGAGGGGCCTGTGCAGGCAGGCCAGGGAAAAACAAGTCCTACCCTCTTGCTGCCCTTCTAGAAAGAAGGTGGGAGTCAGGGGCCTGCTTCAAGTCCCACTAGATCCATAATGCAAGTCCCCTGGCCTCTGGGGGCCTCCAGTTTGATGCAGAAAATAGGAGAGTTGTGAGGGTGGTTTTTGGGTCCAGAGAATGGGGAATGGAATTGACCTCTTAACAGCTGGAGGGGTGTACCCCATCCCCAAGTCTTAAGTGTGCCCAGGTCCCTGCAGGCCACACATCACGGACATTTAGAGCCTGTATGTGCGGGTACATGTGTGTGCGCGCGCACAGGGCTCGGGGGGACACCACTTCACTCACCGGGGGATGCTTGCGCTTCCTTCCAGGCCGCCCCACCTTCCGGGCAGTCGTGCTGGGCTCCTGCCGCTCCTCCTTGGCACGAGCCTCCTCCTGCTCCTCTCCCTCCTGTGGGCACAGACACAGCCTGTAAAGCCAGAGCTGGACCCCCAGAGCCCTCCCCAGCGTCCCACTCATAGGGCAGCCACACTCCCAGGGCGGTGTCATGCTGGCACCCTGGTAGGGATGGTTTTCACCCGCCTCCTGCCTGGCAGAGCTGAGCCACTCCCACGGGCCGATTTCCGTATATCCTCGGGGGGACCTGTGGGCCACCCCACTGCCCCGGCTGAACACAGCTATCCCTCAGGTGGACACGTTTTCTGAACCACAGACTCATCACACAGGCTCTGACAAAAAAGTTGTTTCTGGATATGAGTTTATTTATATGGGAAAAAAAAATCTAACACAAGTACAAAAATGAAATTAGCTCTATACTGAGTGAATCACCTTTATTGAAGAGAATCCCATGAAGAGACACACGAAACAGTGATGTCTATTGGAAGTGCACGAAATCCTTGGAAGCAGGCTTGTCACAGGCCACACAGGGTGCCACAGCCACTCTACACTCGCCTGCCCTGAAGCACCTGCCCCATTGCAGTGTCACCCCACAGGAGAGTCCTGGGGACTTTGTCTTAGTTCATTGTGATGCCCCTCTTTTGGTGACTGGGATGGACCAGAAGCTTGGTTTTGTTACCACCCTTCACCTGTGCCAGGGCCAGGCCCTGCAGGGCTTGTCTCGTGGGGCAGACACATAAACCTAGAAAGTCCTCCTGCCTCACTGCTCCAGCCTGGCCACAAACCACCCACAAGTCGCTTCTGACTCAGCGGCTCCAGCATGACTAATCACGAGCACAAACTGCGTTGGGGCAGGAGAGAGAACAGGACCCCGACCCAGCAGGGGGCCCACAGGCTGCTCTTTGTGCCCCCGTGTAACGATATCAGCAGCTCTGGGCGGCTTCACGGTCCTCCCAAGGGAGGGCGCTGGCCCAGAACCGTGCTGGGGCCACAGAGAAGGGGAGGCACACAGATTCCCAGGGGATTTCATCGAGGTGGCTCTCAATGTCCCACTCAACTTTCATTTTTTGTGATTTCAAAATAGCTTGTGGTTTGCCACATTAATTTTCAGGTGATGGTGAGACATGCGGACGGAAACCTACTGTGACCAGTCGTAGACCTTAGACCGGAGGGAAGAGCAACCCTGGCTCCTCTGTCCATCCATCCATTCGAGGCCCATCTGGGACAGACCCAACCAGGAGGGAGATTTGGGGGCATCACAGTCGAGGTTCTGGGAGTTCTCAGAAGACATGCAAAGAGATGATGACAAAGGCGCCAGGCCTTAGCACCAAGGGGAAAGCTATGGTCGAGTTGGAAGACGGAGAGAGTGTTTAGAAGAGCAGAAAGTGGACACCAGTGTACTGTGGGTGCAAGAAAAAAAAGGAAGCTGCTAACTCAAGAGGCAAAGATTGACAGACACACACACACACACACACACACACAAATGACAGACACAGAGAAGTCAAGGGCAGCGCGATTTGGTTAGGGATGGGAATGGGCAGCCTTTGGAGAAGCTGTGCAGAATGACACAGCAGTGAGGACTGAGGGCCTGGAGAGGGGCTGATGAGACGGTTTGAGGAACTCAGCTGAGAGAAGTCTGGAAGAGAAGCCAAGGGCAGGGAGCACAGTGCCAGCTGTGGACAGGAGGGGAGGGTCCAGGGCAGAGAGGAAAGGCTACCCTGGGACCAGAGACCCCTGAAAGGCTCTGTTCAGGAAAAACTGGCAGAGAGATTGTGAGGGCAGAAAGGCTGAGGTGGGACACAGCCAGGTGGAGGAGAGGCCTCTGGGGGGGCCTAGGGTGAGTGGGCCAGATCTGCTGGTTCTGAGCGATCTTCCGAGACCCCACAGACACCCTCGTTTAAGAAACAACCACCTGGATCACACAGAGAGCAAGGATTCCCGGTGCAACTTAATGTTTGTGAAGGTTCCAACTGAATCTAACCAAATGCGGTGAATTTAATCTAAGATGGTGCGTCAGATTCCACAATGGCTAAAAGGGCACTGTCTTGACTGCGCTGACTAGGTAACTCAGCATTCACAGAATAGCCGGCCATAGAAAGGCAGAGCTTAGAGCAAACCTAAATTGGTATGTGCCTGGCTTGTTTGTGTGCTGTTTTCAGGACCATTCTCGCTGAACCTCAGTTGCTTCATCCATAAAATGGGGCCATAAAGGTGTCTGGTGTCCATTCTGCCTGCTTCTGGGGTTTTTAAGAAAGGAGATGAATAAAATGGTTTATCCCCTTGTTGAATTCCCAGAGCCTAGAACAGACTCAGCCCTTGGTGGGTTTTCCACGTGCCCCTCAGATGAGAAGAATGACATCTTCCCTGGAAAAAAAGAGGGCCCACCAAGCTCCTGGACTTGCCTACAGAACACAGGCCAGACCTGGCTGAGCCTCTGACTGTTCCTTGTGTCCGGGCTGACGGGCCTAGAAGGCACAGGCAGCAGCCGGGGTGGGGTACCGAGGTGGGTTGCGATCAGTCTGGGCAGCCAAAGGGTCTGGAAGGACTCCCACCACCCAGAAATTCTGGCCTCTGAGCTGTTTCTTTAACACAGTGCATTTCTCACAGGAGGATTCATCTGATTTTCTAACTTTTGCTCTGAATTAATCAGAGGCGTGAAAGCCAGTCAGAGGCTCAGAACAGCACTCAGGAACCACAGTCACTAGGCCGCCTGCACAGACGGAAAACAAAGACACCTGACTTTTAAGGACTACCAGGCATCCCCCCGACCCCGTCAGCATACGGAGAAAGCCTCTGGGGGCCCCTGATAGGCAACCCCCTGCCATCTGGAGACTTGCTGTCATTCCTCACCTTAAGCCACGTGCTCTCGGCCTGATGCACGGAGGCACTCAGCGCATCTTCCCCTGTTGAATTTTATTCAACTCAACACCCCCAAGAGGAAGGGGTGGAGGACCCTGGCACCAGACCATCTGTCCAGTCCTGGCGTGTTGAGAACAGGGAGTCCCTGGGGCCCAAGTAGGCCTTCGCTGCCCAGTCCAACACTCGGCCGCAGGTACCCCGGGGTGTGCTCAGGAAACTAAGTGGCCATGAGACTTGGCGGGAGTTGCAGCCAGGTCTGAGCGACTCTGGCCTATACCCTTTCCATCCGATCCCACACACAGCTTTGTGAAAAGCGCGCTATTTTTGGTCATGTCATTCTTCCATGATGTAGCGACATAGCAGGGCAGAGGGAGGTGGTGATACCTTCTGCTCTGGGCCTGCCCACGTTCACACCCACGAGGGAGAGGGGATAATACGCTGAGCAGGGTGAGCAGATGGCTTGGGGCCATGCCCCTCAAGGAGGCGTATCAAGTGGTTCATTCCCGCATCTGTCAGGAGGCCTGTTTCATTCAGTATCCCTGCTGATGGGTTGAGCGAAGGAATGTAAAATATGCTTATCAAATCTGCAAGTAGCATTGAGTTAGGAGGCGTCACTAATACTCTGAAAGGGAAGAATCTGATCCGCAGTGACTTGGAGCAGCTGGAAAACAGTAACAAATTGAGCAGAACAAGCTTTGAGCCCAGGTTGGTTTCCTCATCTGTCAAGTGAAGGGACTGGATTAGTCGATCCTTCCAGTGGGAATGGGCAGAAATTCTAGGGAGGTGGGCTTTGTGCGGAGGGGGCAGGGGAGGGGCAGGCTGGACTTTCTGCTCTGCTCTTTCCTCACTAGGCGCTTCCAGCTAGTTAACCTCTCCAGTCTAGCGTTCCACACCTACAAAATGGGGAGACTGATACCTCCACCTCCTTCGCAGCAATCGTAGAACAATTAACTGAGGTAATATATGGAAAGCTGACATGTGCGAGGCACTCAAGAATTGCTAACTTCCTTTGCTCCGCACGTACGGACCAGAACTATTCCCAGAAGTGCCTCCTCCCCGCCCCCATGCAAATCCCAGCTCACGGCCTGCATATGCAGCCATCACTCACTGCTCAGACAAACCCCAACATCTGGCTGGTACCCGCCGCAGTGCGATCCTCAGGAACACTGGGGCTCCGTGATCTTTCCAAAATGCAAAGCTGATTATGTCACTCCACAGAGCTTAAGCCCTTGTGGAGGGGGCTCCCAGGGCCCTGCGGGATCAGCCCAAGCTCCTTAGCCCGGGTGAAGGCAGGCCCTAGGATTCCAGCCGGCAGCTCCGGCCATTGCAAAACCACCATACCAGGTGCCAATGTGGGCTGCTTCCTCCCTGGGACTTTGATACAGACCCTGGCTTCTGCCACGACTACCTTCCTCTCAGGTTGACCAGCAAACCCTGACTTTTCCAAACTCACCTCCTAGATTCCCTTCCTTTCCCCCCCAGGCTCCTCCTCCCATCCCTCCACTGGACTGAGTCTCTGGGTGCTTCCTCTCACAGAGTACCCACTCTCCAACACTGTAACTGACTGCTGCCTCTCCTCCTGGCCAGGCCATGAGCCCCTCCAGGGAAGGAACTCTCTTATTCTCTTTGGCCTCCGTCCCCAATGCCTCCATCCCCTGCACCTGGTGCAGGGCAGGGACTCAAAATACTTGATGAATGACTCTCACGTAGTAGATGCTCAATAAACAAGTCCACACACATACAGAGAGAGACACACGTGTGCAAATCCACAAATCTGCACTAGTACAACTGAGCAGGAGGATCAGTGCTGCTTGATCATTACAACTGCAAATCAGGAAACAGGGTGACTAAAATGTAGCTTCTCGTCTTAAACATGATCCTGTCACTTCGATTTACGTAACCCTTTACAGGTTTCAAAGCCCCTTCTCATTTGGAGGCCTGTTAGATGAGGCAGTTATCATCAGGCTCTCTCAACTTCTGAGGCTAGGATTTGACCTACATTTTAACACAGCTCACTGGATGGATTATTTTAAGCCACATACAACTTCTCATTCTGAGGAGCTGGGCCATGACGATAATAATCTCTCGTATTTGTACAGTACGTGGTAATTAACAAAGCATTTTCACATACGTTATTTCATTTTATTCTTATGCCTTACAGAAAGTAGAGCTGGTTCTTTTTTTTTTTTTTTTTT